CGTACAAAATAAAAATACAAAAAAAAAAAAGATGTTGGAATCGCAATCGTAGACGCTCTGCTGCCACCACCCAACCAATCAATCGATACGTGAACACCTCCCCCCATCCCCATTCCTCCTTCCCCTCCCATTCCCCAGCGCACAAACAAACAAACACACAAAAAAAACAGGAAAAAAATACAAAAAACACAACAAAAAAATTGGCAAAAAAGTCGTTGAGTGGCGGATGTCATTCATCTCAAAAAAATTTTTTTTTTCTTGGAACCAAATCCCCCTTTCATCCCTTCTCTTCTCTCCTTCTTTGGCTTCCCCATCCAAAATAAAACAAAACAATGAGAAAACAAACACACAACAAAAAAAAAAAAAAAAAAGAAAGAAAGAAGTACAAAATAGTGAAATGGTAATGACGGAAAAAACAAAAACAAGCAAACAAAAGACAGCAACAAAATAATAATAATAAAAAAAAAGACATTCGAAAAAAGTTTCTATGGTTTTTTGTGATTGAACAGTCCACAGCGCACGTCCGCTACGACGGCAGGCGGAACACCATCACAAAAGGGGATGAGCATTAAAAATATATATGCATCAAACACCACAACGAATAAAAGTGCTGGATAGCACAAATATACATGTACATGTACATGTATTATATATACACGTCACTTCCGCAGTGGGCGCTCGTGTGTGTTTGTGTTTGTGTTTTTGTGAGAAGGAAAACAAAACAAAACAAAAAACAACAAAAAAGATGGAACATACATACACACATACACAAAATAGGAAGGGCAAGAAAGAAGGGAGGGGTGGGGGGGGGGGAAGGGAGGGGGGAAGGGAGAACAGGAGGTGTGATTGTGATGACGTCGGAAAATATCCCCTCCCATTTGACAAGAAAAAACAAAACAAAAAAAAAAAAAAAAAGAAAGAAAAAGAAAAAAAGAGGGTTATTTTAAAATCTTTAATCTTTATTTATTTTTTCTTCTTTGTTTGTTTCATTTTGTCACTTGTTGCCGTTCAACCACCGTCGTTCCCTCCCGTTTAATGTGTCCGTGTGCGCGCGTGTGTGAAGGAAAGGGAAGGGGGAGAAGACGAGTCATCGTTCATCCGCCTCTTGACTCCGCTTGCCGTCCTTCTTGGTGCCACCACACTTGCGAGGGTCCCTTCGACTCTTGCGACTTCCCTCCGTGTCTGAAGACTGCCGCCTCTGCTTGCAGTTCGCCTCCCAGTTGAGCTGATGCATCCAGATGCGGCACTGATACTGGCGGTTCAGGGCACGAAGAAGCACTTTAAACTCCACGTAACTGTCGCTGCTGTACGTGAAGGTCAGTTTCTTCCGGTCAAACTGAAATACCGCACGCTTTACCTGCAGCGGAGTACGTATTTTGAGAGAATTAATCGCTGCTTTGCAGAAGCGAAGCGCCTCTTCCTCCAGTCTGTCCAGGCCATGAAAGGACTCAACTTCTTCTGCAAGGGCCTCACGAAGAACGCGTGGATGACTGTTGTCACCCTCTTCCGCCTTTTCCACCTGCTTCACGGGCTCCTGCTCGGAGCGCTCAATGGCGGAAATGATGCCCATATCCTCTCCACGATCCCCTTCCACAATAACGTAGCGGCCCACGAGCTCCTCCGGATTCACAATGAGACCAAAAACCTGTGGCACATCGTTCACAATGAATACCTCGCTTCCCAAACGCAATTTTACCTTTACCTCAGCGTACATGACGCCGCGAACAACCTTGGGACGACCATCAACGTACATCTTGTAGAGATTGTTGCTTCGCTTGACGGGTGTCGAGACAACCGAGGTCCCTGTGTTTCCGCAAGATGTACTGTTATTGCTTAGGTTCATGGTTTTGTCAGCGACACTGCTTGTGTTAATGCTTTCTGTGGGCACTGCAGGCAGTTGGTAAGTCATCTGCGTCGTTTTTGCAAATGACGGAGAAATGCGTTGGGAGTAGTAATAGGAGGATCCATATACAGCGTAATCGTAGGCAGTTTCATTCACGCAAGAATTCTCATTATAGACGCACGGTGCGTAAGTATTCCACGGGATCTCTGCAGGAACAAATGCAGGTGCATTGGGGTTGGGTTCATGCCGCTTTTTATCATTAAAATTGCAGCTTGTCACCACTGGTGTTAAAATCGCTTGAAGATACGGATTGTGGGTGTGCCTCCTCCTGATCGCTTTCCTTAATTCACTGCAGGCCACGTTATTGGCCTTGTTGGCCTCCTGAATAACGCCAGCCGTGCAGTCTGAAAGTGGTGCAATGAGCATCTTTTTTATTTTTTCTTTTCTTTCTTTCTTTCTTTTTTTATTTTTTTCTTTTTCTTCTTTCCGTCCTTCACTTCTTGTGTCTGGTGGACAGGCGTGTAAATATAAATGTATGCTTTTTTTATGTTTGGCGGTGATTGCCTGCGATGCTTGCAGCAGCGGCAAAACAGCTAATAATAATAATAATAATAAAAGGAATATATATATATATATATATATTTAGTATTTACTTCACGTATCTTTAAAAGCCAAACAAAACCCAAAGAAAAGAACAAAAACGAAAAAGAAGATATGTTTATATATATATATAGAGAGAGAGAGAGGGAGAGAGAGAGAGGGAACCAAAACAAAACACAAAAAAAAAGAGAAATGTGAAGCCAAAATAAACAGTTGAACATCACACGTTTCATCCGTCGTCGCCTTTTTTTTTCTTTTTCTCGTACCACTTCTACCCTCACCCCTCTAAGCCCTCGCCACGCGCCAGACACGAACCATGTTGTCGTCCCCACCGGAAGCCAGTAACAGAGCGCTGCTGCTGCTGCTGTTGTTGTTGTTGTCGTTGACGACCTCCTTGCTATCATCCAGAGCCCCCTTGACAATTGAACAGAATGCGACACTGTTCACATCCGCCTCATGAGCAGACGGCAACTCCGCGAGCACAGTAACGTGCACCTCGTTGTACCCACGTGACTGGTAAAGGCCCAGGAGTGTAATTTTATTGTCACCACTGCCGCACGCCACAATGGCACCGCAGTTGCTAGGGGCCCAACCAACCGTATAGATGGAACGCTCCGCAAAGCCAGTGGCCGTAACAATCACGTGAAACTTTCCTTCAGCGTTGCGCTTCCAAAAGGTCACGCTCTTATCGTCCGAACAACAACAGATGATGGGCTGGCATGTAGGTTGTGCCTCCCCTCCCTCTTCCTCTTCCTCCGCACGTAGGGTCTCAATGGACTGCTCGACAGGCTGCACAGCAACAGACCAGACCGTTTCATCGTGCCGCGTTAATGTCTGAAAGCAGTGCCAGTCATCTCGAATATGAGACTCAGCCCAAACCTTCACAGTATTGTCGTAAGAACATGAAAGCAGAAGTGGCTTCGCACCTCCATCGATAGGAGGTATCCAGGCACATGCCTTCACGTCTTGGGCATGTCCTGCAAGAACGCCAGCGCACTCAAATTCACCGACATCCACTCGGTCCCACACCCAAACAGTTCGATCGCGCGAACACGTCGCTAATGTGCTATCTGTTAGCCACGCCACGCACTTTACTTCACTTTCGTGTCCATCAAGGATGGCCTCCAATTCAAAGTCAAATCGGTTCACATCATCCGATGCCCGTTTCCAAACGGTTGCTGTGCGATCAAATGAAGCACAAGCGATGTAGTCACCGCTGGGACTCCATGAAATATGACGAACCGTTCGACTGTGTTCACCCGCCAATGTGTGAATGCACTCCCACGAAAGACCCTTCTGCGGATACTGCTGGTGTTGTTCATCAACAGCTTTTGCGTGTTGCAAACAGCTCCATAGCTTTACTGTTTTATCGGCAGAACTTGAGGCCAATACATTCGCTGTGGGGCACCAGGAAACACACCAAACGCGGTCTTCGTGGCCCTCTAGCACCGCGACAGGATCCACACGGAGGAGCGGTGGCGGATCAAAGGGCAAATTTAACGGCTTCTCTTCAGCAACACCAGTGTTATTCCCATTACCGGATGCAGAGGCAGGGAACAGCGGCATTCTTGCCTTTTAGCCTTATAGAAATTTTCCTATTTCACAACAAGAAAAGAGGCAAGTGACACACACACACTCAAAAAAAAAAAAAATAATAAAATAAATAAAAATCATTCCACACGCACACACACAAACAAAAAAAAACAAAATCCAAAGCAGGAACCAAGGTTGCGCCTATACTGTCTGTGTTCCTCGCTAAAACAAATGAATACAGGCATATATATATATATATATATATATATATATATATATATATATATATTTTTAAGCGGTTACAAGAAATAAACTCAATAGTCAGTATAACTAATACACCTTACACACACACACACACACACACAAAACATTATTAGGGGCACAAAAACAAACAAGAATTCTCTTCAAAAACATATCATCCCACATACACGTTTGGCCTAATCGCTATCATCAAACTGAAACGACCTAACACTAGTGTCCACCCCAGCAGCATAAAACTTAGCCTTATTTTTCTGTTTCAACTTGTTAAAATTCTTACCCTTTACCCGCATCATCTCTTGATTTTGCCGAAACGCCATGTGCTCGCCACCTGGTCGGTTATCTCTTAATTCATCTTTAACGAAAACAACCTTTGTGGGGTCAATACGTTGAAAACGACGTAATGCAGTTCCTCCATTGCCATTACTTTTTCGAGTGTTGTTAACGTTATTATCCTCCCACTCCTTACCCCCTGGCCCAGCTGACACGACTTCTGTCCGAACACTCTTTTTCACGGGTTCCTGTTCACCACAACATTCCGACCTCGGTGTCTTCTTCGGTGCTGGCCTCATTGCGGGCGACGCCTTGGCCTTTTGTGCCGGCTTCCGCAGGGGCGCATCATCATCGTCAGAGGAGCTGTCCGGGACGGCGGCCTTCTTCGGTGCTGGCCTCATTGCGGGCGACGCCTTGGCCTTTTTTGCCGGCTTCCGCATGGGCGCATCATCATCGTCAGAGGAGCTGTCCGGGACGGCGGCCTTCTTCGGTGCTGGCCTCATTGCGGGCGACGCCTTGGCCTTTTGTGCCGGCTTCCGCAGGGGCGCATCATCATCGTCAGAGGAGCTGTCCGGAATGGCGGCCTTCTTCGGTGCTGGCCTCATTGCGGGCGACGCCTTGGCCTTTTGTGCCGGCTTCCGCAGGGGCGCATCATCATCGTCAGAGGAGCTGTCCGGGACGGCGGCCTTCTTCGGTGCTGGCCTCATTACGGGCGACGCCTTGGCCTTTTTTGCCGGCTTCCGCATGGGCGCATCATCATCGTCAGAGGAGCTGTCCGGGACGGCGGCCTTCTTCGGTGCTGGCCTCATTGCGGGCGACGCCTTGGCCTTTTGTGCCGGCTTCCGCAGGGGCGCATCATCATCATCAGAGGAGCTGTCCGGAATGGCGGCCTTCTTCGGTGCTGGCCTCATTGCGGGCGACGCCTTGGCCTTTTGTGCCGGCTTCCGCAGGGGCGCATCATCATCGTCAGAGGAGCTGTCCGGGACGGCCGCATTGAGTTCCGTTCTGCACTGCTTTCTGGAAGGTTTTTCACCATCTGATGACGGATAGTCAAGTCGATTTTTTACTCCACGTTGTTGGGAAGCAATGAGTGTTTCTACCGTCGTAGCATTTGGGAGGAAGGACGGCTTGGAGATGTATGCTTCCTGTTCAAAAACGTGAGCAACGTCGGGGTAATGCTCCTTGAGGTACGTTAGAACAGCAGCGTTAATGGTGCCTGTCATGGCAAAAAATAGATACCCGAAGAATGAGTGCTTAAAAGAAAAAAAAAAGAAAAAGAGAAAAACAAATGAGTAATTCAGTCTAGTTGTTGCTGGCCAGAAGAAAAAAGAAGTCCTTTACAATTCCGGCTTCCTCATCGTGACGCCAGGGCTAGTTGCCCGGTATTGTCGGGGGAAGCCGAGAGCCAGCAATGTTCCCCTCATGGGGTCGTTGCTGTTGGCACGGGGCTGAAGACATTCGACCAGCGCCCGGACCAGCCGCACC